GCCGTGTCGAACAAACTGAATGTACGGTATCAGCCCCTTCCCAAAAAGACACAATTCAAACCGCTGTCGATGCACATGTTAAGCGCGTCCCCGAAAACTTTCGGGGTGGAAGTGGCCGGCGTACTATTGCGAAACCTTCAGGTGTATCCGACGGTGTGCAAACTCTCATTACGGAAGGCGGCGATGCGGAACCACGAGAGAACAAGCGATTCGAAGACGCATCCTACATACTGTCTACTTGTCATCACGCCTTCCCGGCAAGGTGAAGGGAGGGGGAGAAGCGGGAATCAGAACGTTTAAGGAGGGAAGGAGAGCGAGAGACAGAGAGAGAGAGAGAGAGAGCGAGAGATAGAGAGGGAGGCAGAGGGTTGGCCGACCCGACCCAACCCTCTACCTTCAGGGGTGACATCCGATCTCCCTCTCCACGACCCGCCGACCAGCCGTGCTGCGCCTTCCTTGAGGAGCACGGCAGCAGGGAGGCAAGGACATCGGGGCCCCCCACCCGAGGCCAGAATATCTTCTCTATCCTACCGTCTCCTTCGCTGACAGTCGATCTATCTCCATCGCCTGCGCCCCTGCCAATAGGAGCTCGTGGCGGAATCGGCTATCCGAGACGGGATTTCTATCCAAATCACAAGCCCTACTACGGCCTAGAGGCTTATTCGGGAAAACGAACGAGGGCCCCAAACAGTGCGAGCATAGGGGCGGGCGAGGCGGCCCCAGGGGGGGGCCTGCGGAGAGCCCGCCCAAGGCGCGGTTATCTTCGCGCCCGCGCCGCACAGGGAGCCCCTCTACAGCTTGCGGAAGCTGCTACGGTTACGAAAGCCTCCTTTCACAATAGGCCACATCTCCATGGCCCTCAAATCTACGTCCATGCCGTCCGAGTTGAACAACAATATCGTGATGATGCTCTTCCCAGGGTGCTGAAGGAACTTGTGATATCTCTTGTCTAACTTGGCACTGTCACGGGGGTCCGCGACGTCCTCCCAAAGTCCACTGTCATCTATGTATCGCCAACGCGGAACGGCTTCGAAAGTCGTGAAGGTGGTGTCCTTCAGCTCCTTGTTGTCCGCGTTGGCGCTCGATGCTACTGCGGCCTTCGGGTCCATGCCGAGGCCGTTGTGTAGCGCCACCTCGCTTGTGGGCTCCACCGCCGTGTCCCCGAAGCGGTACTCCTGGACTGTGGTGTCGCTCTCGACGATCTGCTGCACCGGCGGTGCCTCAATGGTCTCCTGCAGGGAGGCGTCCTCCAGGTTAGCGTTCTCGGTGACCTTCGTGATGAAAGGCGAGACGGGGGCAGGCAGTTTGCCCACAGCCTCGCCCTCGGTAGCGAAGTTGCTGCGCATCGCCGCCTCGCACTGCTCGAACTTGTCGTTTCCGCCGGTTGTGACGATCAGCTCGTTGCTGTCCACGTTGGGCGGGTTTGCCTCCTCGGCATTGTTGACAATGTTGGTGTTCAGCTTGTCGATGCTCTCCAGGGTCTCGAAGGTGGTGTGGCTCCGCTTCCTGCTGGCCACTTGGGGCGTGGCGTCCAAGTTTGAGCGGGACTCGGTCTGCTGCGCCTTCGGGCTGTCGAGCAGAGCATCTAGCAGTTCCTCTTCCACAGGCGTAGAACAATCTCTGAACGCCATCTGCACGAGGCCGTACAGTACTCTCTGAAAAGAAGGCTCCCAATAGGAGTCGATGAGGGTGTCGACGGCTGTGTCGCGCAGGGCAGGAACCTCCACGACAATGTACTTGGTCCCAGCATGTGCACAACCACGTTCGAGGCCTGCCTCGGACGCCGCACTGTCTGGCTGTGGAAGCCCAAGGGGAGGATGAGGCAGTGCCGATGGTGTTCTGTGCAGTGCGCGCACAAGTCCAAGCCAGATCGCTGTGCCCTGCGGGCCGCAGAGCGCTGGAACCGACATCGCCGCGCCATCGACGCCGAAATATATGAGGCGGTCACCTTACAGGCGGCACGCTCCCAATCGCACATCGGCTCGTGGTACGGAAGCTGGCGGGAAGGCTAGCGGGCACCTGGAGCCAATATGGTTGCTTGAGCCAGGAGGAGGAGCAGGAGGAGGAGGAGGAAGAGGAGGAAGAGGAGGAGGAGGAGGAGCAGGAGGAGGGGGTGGGAGGAGGAGGAGGAGGAGGAGAAGGAGGAGGAGGAGGAGAAGGAAGAGAAGGAAGAGGAGGAGGAGGGAGGAGGAGGAACGAGGAGTAGGATGGAGGAGGAGGAGGAGGAGGAGGAGGGAGGAGTGGCAGAAGGCAGCCTTGACCTCTCGTACGCTGGGGGCCCGTTTATGGCGGGGGCGCGTCGCCGAGCTGTGCCATCGGGCCGCCCGCGAGGTCAGGGCTCAGCGCGGCCTCGGAGGCCCGCGGCCGCCAGAGGCGGCTACCAGGAGTTGCCGGAGTTGTGGCTGCTGGCGGCCTTCGCGGTGGGCGACGTCGCGCCGGGCTCTGGAGAGGTCGGCTTCTTCGGCGCGCTGTCCCCCATCCCCTTCTTCGGATGAGCCTCGGACGCCACTGACAAGGTGACCGAGGTGTCCACACCTTCGTCCTGTACTACGTCGATGCGCCGCCGCATGCGCGCAAGGCGGGCGGCTATCCGCAGTGTGCTGTGCTGGGCAAGGTCAGTTCTGTCTGCCATTCCGCTGCCAAGCTGCTGGAAGGTCGACGCCGCAAAGCCCGAGGAGAAGTTCGAGGTGGCCGATGCGGTGGCCCCGCAGGTGCCTCCGTGCGAGCCAGCCTGGGCAGCGCTGGCCAGGCGCGGGGTCTCTGTCGCCAACGCCGTGCCGCCGCCTCCGACCTTCGAGGCCCGTGGTGGCTTGGGCGAGGCGGCCTATGGCATATGGAGGCGCTGTTGGTGATCCCCCAGATGCTGGTACCGAGCGGGTTTCCGAATGTCTCCGAGACGCTGGTGGCCGTTGTCTGTTATGTACACGGCGGAGCTCTTGACTCCCAGCAAGGGTGGGATGGATGTTGGGGCGGGGAGCTGGGCTTTCAGATCAGGGTGCACGTGCTGTTCGAGCGGGTAAAGCAGGGTACCAGGCCCACGAACTGGCACAGAGCTCATAAGCAGTACTCCAGGTCAGGTGCAGGTGCTGTCGCTGCACACGTTCCCGGACTCTTCGTCCACTGTCCTCGCCGTGTCGACGTCGGACATGAGGATGATGGGAGGATCTAGTCGGGGGAGATAAACTGCGTAGTGACCGAGAATGCTTGTCGTAACGACGTGGCCCGTTCCAAGAGGCCTGTCGTAACGGCGCGGCCCGTTCCAAGATGTGTTCGTCTTGACAGCGCAGCCCGTTCCAAGACACAAACTTGCGCTCGACCTTAACCGTAACGCCTCTCGTGGGCGCTGTGAACAAGGACCGTGGCTGCTGCAACCTCTCACTGCCTAATCTGGCGTGCAGCTCGTCGTAGCTTGTCGCCCGCCGCTGAACCCTGGAGTGCCCTTAGCGCTGGGCCTCGTGAGCGCGAGGGGCATGGCTCCTCGCTCGTGCTCCGGCATCTGCGGGCTGTTGGAGGGCAGAGGGCTGGAGGGGCTGGTTGAGGTGGGCGTTTCCTCTCCGCGCGGGGCGGACCGGCGGCACGAGTGGCCAGAGATGGGGATCAAGCTCGCTCTGCACAGCTCCGCCGCTCCGCCAGCGGGGACAGACCCTCGCACGCACGGACTCTCGTCATCCCTCTTGCGTACAGTCTTTGGCAGTGTGGAGGCTGCGGGAAATGCGAGGAGGCTCGGGGTTGACGGAAGAGGCTCTGGGTTTGGCTCTCATGCTGCATGCCGTCCCACATCCTACCCACCTCGTACCCGTCGAGCTCGTATAGCAGAACGTGCTGCAATGTTTAATTCGGCTGACCCCGCCTTGGCTTGCACTCGGCCCTGCTGTTGGGCTGCCTGCAATACTTACCCGACCTCCTCATCATGTTTCTCTCCATCTTGGTCTTTCCTTGCCACGTGCATCACCCTGGATTGCCGTGTGGGCATGTCCAGATTGCTGTTGATGGTGGGGAGGCCCAATCGGTGGACACAAAGACGCCTAACTTCGCGCTGCGCGAATACATTCGCGCTTCGCGCCGCCCCCCAGGGGAGACGGGGAGGATGAGGAGGAATCGAAGCCGAACCACGAAGCGCGCATAACTTCGCGCCCTCGAGGGCGCCCTCGTGGATATGGAGGTGCTGGAGGTGGTGCTCGCTTTTGCGTGCCTTGGGTACCCCTTCCGCCATCAGCATCGGGGGTCCCCGTGCTGCTCCTGCGGGAGGGGCTGCGCACGCGCGTGGACCTTCGGCTGACGCTGCGGGCCGAGCGCCCCCATAGCATGGCAAAGAAAGAGCGGCAGGAGGAACGGAAAGAAGAGAGGAGGAGGAGGAGGAGGAGGAGGAGGAGGAGGACGAGGAGGAGGAGGCGAAGGCGGAGGCGGAGGAGGAAGAGGGAGAGGGGGAGGAGGAGTAGGAGGAGGAGGAGGAGGTGGAGGAGGAGGAGGATAAAAAAAGGAGAAAGAGGGGGAGGAGGAGGACGATGAAGGGGGAGGAGGAGGACGAGGAGGAGGAGGGAGGAGGAGGAACGATGAGTAGGATGGAGGAGGAGGGGGAGTGGCAGGAGGGAGAGCCCTTCCGCCCCAAACCACCGACAGCTCGACTGGCTCTGGTCGCGGGCCCCTGGAGCTGGGCCTCTCGACCCCTTTCCCAGGACCGGCTTTTTTCATTATGAGCCCTCTCTGGCGACGGCCCTGGGTCCCAGACACTGCCCCCAACGCCAAAAACTTGCGAGCACGCATTGTGCAAGGGCGGGGATCTATCCAGACCCAGTGCCTGGGGAAGTGACATCCTGGGCCCCCAGCGGGCGGTGGATGAGCATGTATTTGGCCCCAGGGGGCCCGAATGTATCCACATCTACCGCCTGCCAGGATCCCCGAAGATCGATCTCCTTGGCGGTGGTTCTGGGTAGAAACCCGCCTCGGACATTGGGCGCGATGTTTTCGGGTCGTGGAGGACTGGGCCTGTCCCCGGAGTCCCACGAGATTCGTGCTGCGCGAGCTCGCCGGAATGCTCCGCAGCATGAACTCCGTGTTGCGCAAGCCCGGCAGGATGCTCCGCGACGGCCACCTGCAGACAGCGGCGATTGCTCGCCAGACCGAGTCCGCACTGCACCGACAAGCAAGGGCGAAATGTGCGCCAACCAAGCCGCTGCGCCGTGTGGTGTGCCCGTGACGTGCGCGCGTCACGTCGTACCGCTCCGCCAACCGCGAGAGGGGTGTCCCCGCTCCGCCAGCCGCGAGTGGAATGCCCCCCTGTCCCCAGACGCCTCGCGACTCGAGCACATCAAGACGGTCGGTTCTTTCCAATGCTCGGCGTCGGGGGGGGGGGCGTCTGGGGCACCTGGACTGTCAAGCAGAAGTGAAACAGGCTTGGAAACGGTCCAGAGGTCCATGGGGCCCCGCATTGAGAAAGAAAACCAAAAGTCGGAGGTCTGGGGATGCATCTCTCACCCACAGCGCTGTGTGCCCATGGCTAATCTACATTGCACCATCGATTTCGACAATCGGCAAGCGCGGCGCTGACTATGGACAACCTGATGTCATACACTGTGTTTGTTTTCGACCTTCGCGACCTCCAAGCATGCACTCGCAATGCTGCCAAGATGAGATATCGAGAAGTGTCTCATGCTGCGATGTTCTACGCCACTACGCCATGACGACTGCTGTGCTGCCGCGAAGGTGGAACTAGCCGCGTGCAGATCCAGACTCTCTCTCCTTTCTCCTCAGCTTCACCTTCATAATGCCTCCCTTCATTCCGTATTTCCTCGCCTACCACTCTATCGAGAGCTCCACAGCCGGGATTTCATCATGCTGCTCTGCAATCGCCCCACGCGGCTTCAGGAACGTATCGTTTCCTTCCGCCTCCCCATCTTCTTCCGCATCCTCCCCTTCCCAAGACGGGCCAAGGATGCCCTCAATGTGAAGCTTCCAAGAGACCCCCAACATTGACCAATGCTGGAAACTGCTCGGGCTGATCTAACTTGTAATTTCACGTGCGCTCCCGCTCCTACGACTTCGACTCCTCCGCGTCACCATGCTTCGTCATCCTTCCGTGGCCCTCGGAGATTCCACGTTGAAATAATAAAGGGTTGACATATTGACGTGCCTTCTCACTTTTCCCAAATTCAACACTTTGAAAGGTTGATCTAGACCTTTCAACATGTCAATGTGTCGACCTGCATGAATATCAAATCGTTTCGAATGAATCTCTCGACCTGCACACAAAGTGGATAGCTACAACGCGTCAAAGATCAGCTGGCCCCGACGACGATGAGTGAAACCTTCAACATGTATTAGGGCATCGATCGTAATGGTCCCTGGCGTTGAAATATCGTGACGTTCTCGGGAATGAACAAACAGCGTTCAAAACTCACTATGTCACCGCTCGTATTCGGAACATTGGCATTCGACGTGTTTCGTTCCATCGATCGCCAAGAAATCCTCTCGTCCTGCGAATATGACTATGATGTGCTGTGTGCCCGATTATGCGTGCCACTGTCGGCACGAGAAAGAATCCGAATGTGGATGTACGCATGTACGCATGACTGCGTGTGTGTGTGCATCTACTGGTATGTGTATGCATGTATGCGCGTATGCAGGTATGGGTGTATGTGTGCACGCATGTACGTGCGTACGGATGTATGTACGCATGTAAGAATGAGTGTTCGATGTATGCAAATATGTATGTATAGCGGGGGTGTACGCGCACATGCGTAGATGCATGTATGTACGCATGCATACACGCATGTGTGTATGCATGCGCGCGCATGTAGACATTTGCGTAGGTGCATATGTACACATGCGTGTATGTAGGTCTGCGCGCATGTATGCAGTTCTGCATTTCTGTATGCACGCACGTATGTGTGCGATCACGCATGCCTGATCTGCTACCACATCAAAAAGGCAGTCTTCCAGAACCCGCGTGACGGGCAACCTTCAAGCAACGATCTCAGTGAGGCCAGCGTGCTATCACGGTGCGAACGGCAACAAGTTAAACGCAACAAAACACTGACATCTTGCGCAAACAGGGAGGGGGAGGAGGAGGAGGAGGAGGAGGAGAAGGAGGAGGAGGGGGAGGAGGAGGAGAAGCAGGAGCAGATTTGAGGAGGTTGATGAGGGAACAGAGGGGAGCAGGAATACCCAATAATACTGCAATGCATCCGCCCCCAGCAGGAGTCATCCAGTCGTTGGTATATGGACCTCGCGGCCTGATCAGCCGCATCAGATACACCCAGCATGAAACGATATAACGAATCGACGACTGGTGCCATCAAGAGCCACGCCACAGTACGTTCTGTGCAAGGCGGGTCAGCATGAGGAGGGCGGACAAAAATTGGGCACGAAGGCAAAGGAACTGCGCAGACACCGTGAGCTGAACTTTGTCGCCAGCTTCGATAGGAACATCGCCGACCCAGACACGCCAAGGACTGGCCGCAAGGCAGCTGGAACACAAGAACTGATTTGCCACCGCATGCCACGGCGGAACGGTACAATCTCTGAAAAATAAAACTGTGTGGTTGCCTCCAGCCGCAATTTGCGCGTAGGCCAGGTCAGATACGCATCCCCCCCCTGCGGGTCCTGGAGCCTCCGAAAGAAGCAAGACCCGAGACGGTCCGAGTGGGCCCCAAATCGCCAAACTATCTATCCAAAACGCCTTCAAGCCCTCCAGACTGCCAAGAAGGCCGCCAAAACGTCACAAGAAGCCTCCAAGAGCACTCCCGAGAAGGGCCCCGCGAAGCAAAATCCATTGGTTTTCACATGTTGTCCCAGGGTTTGGGCGTTCTCGCCTTTTCCACTCCCCGCCGCTTCAAGACTGCCCAAGATGCCCCCAAGATCGCCCCAGGACGGCCTAAGCGGCCTCCACGAGGGCCCCCATACGGCCCAGGAGGACCCCAAGACACTCCACAACGCCTCCAAGAAGGCCCAAGAGACCCCTTAGACGGCCTAACAGCGTGCCCAGACGGGGGACCCGAATGGACACTCCTAGCCCTCGGCCCCGAGAGGCTGTCAGGAGGCCCCAAAAGGTTCCCAAGAGACCCCAAGAGGCCCACAGGAGGTCCCCAGGAAGCCCGAACAGGCTCCAAGAGGCTCCCAAGAGACCATCGAGAGGCCCCAGAATTCATTCCCAGAGGCCCCCGAGAGCCTTCCGAGGAGACCCCAGAAACACCCCACTGGCCCACGTCAGCGTCGTCGTCGTCGCCGACGCCGCCGTTGTCATCGGGGTCAGCGGCACCAGCAGTAAGGCCTTCGCAATAAGACTGTGGTGGTCTCCAGCTGCAACTTGCGCGTAGGTCGGCTCCGCGAATAGAGGAAGCCGCACTGACCAGACTCGTTCCAGCCGCAAGCCACGGCACAGCCATCGTCGCTCATGAACAGAACCGACCAACACACGGAAGTCGCACAACGCGACGCGCCAAACCGGCCAAGAATCCGAGAAGCCAGGCCACCAAACACACAACATCTAAGGCCCTGAATCATCGCCCGGCTGGAAAACGCCGCTGGGAAGACGAGGCGTACGATGGAACAGCGCACGTGGGACAAGAAGCACAGACACCGAAGCCAGGAAAGATAATCCCGAAACCAATCACCAGCGTTAAAACACAATGATGTGAAAGGGGGCGGCGGATGTGGCGCAAGCCTTTGGCATCTCTGGAGGGAGGTTTCTGGAGGCATCCGAATCTAGAAACCATCGCGCAGGCGTCTGGCGGCCCAGGAACCATCCAGAACCGTCCAGGGAAACTCGATCCTCGAAGGCTAGAATCCGATTAACATGAAAGGAAACACTGCAATGGAAACTGGTCCTGGGCCCCACATTTTCACGAGGACCCGCTCATCGAGAACCGTGCTCGACGGCCCTGGGGCCCGGGGAGGGCCGCGGGAGCCCCTCCCTGTCCTCCAGGACCGCGCATCTTCCACGGCGACGCCGAGCACGAGTTAAGGAGGCGTCGACGAACGGTGCAGAATAAAACTGCTTGAATAGAGCACCGTGGTCTCCAATCCTCCCTCCTCGCCCCCCCTCCCCCCTCCTGCCTCCCACTTCCTGCCTCCTGTCTCCTCTTCAACTTCCTCTCCCTCCTCCCTTCTCTCCTTCGTCCTGCTTGCGCTGCAGCCCCGCTTTGACTCTTCCTGGTGCATCCTCAGTGGTGACTCCGACCACGAGTGAGGGGTCGAAGAGCGGTACAAAAAAACTTGTTCCGCCGTCAGGGACGCCTGAGGCAGGGCTGCTGATATTAACTTTCCAGCCGCCCAGGGGAGTTGCCAGCATGTATTTGTCCCCGACGGCTTCGCAATATGGATGGGGTCCGCATGTCAAGCCCCATGAGGTGGCGATCCACAGTCACGTGGGGCAGTTGCAGCAGCATGTTCCCCAGACCCTGCTGCTGCGACGATGGTGCAAGTGGCTCGCGAGGAGCCGCAGACAGTCACCCTGAAGCTCGCCTGGGACCCCGTGGTGCAGCCGATCTTCCATGGACATGCTGCGCCGGGTGTGCGTGAGCCCACCGATGTGCGCAGCTGCACTGCACTGGCGATCCCGCAGAGGGCAGAGGCTCCAGCGTTGGCAGCAGCGACCGCTCCGCTGCCGGGGCGCTGGACGCCGGCGCGCGTGCCGCCTCCGCCCGCTCGGGCGGCAGCTTCGCCACGCCACACCGCCGCCGCCGCTTGGAGGAGAAGCATGGCGGGCCGCTCCCGCCTGTGGCCGAATTCCCGCACATGCCCTGCGTGGGGACTCCAGCGCCGTGGAGGCGCTGCAGTGCGACACGAATTTCATTGCAGGAGGGCATCATGGTGATGAAGATCGCAGTCTATCTCCCCCCAAAGCATCTCATGGCGCTGCCTCCGCTGGATCCGCCGACTGTCCGGCTGGCGCTCTGGCGGCTGCTGAGGTCCTAGCCTGCGCTGCGTCAGCAGCAGCTTCTCTGGAGGCGCTGACCCATGGAGATAAAGATGCCGATCCCGAGTGTGAACATTTTTCGTGCGTTTCTGCCATGCTCGTGGACAGCAAGACAAGGGCGCTGTGGAGATGCCGTTTTTCCCCGACTGCCACGGCAAGCAGATGGGCTGCACGGTGGAGCCCATCAGGGTGAAGTGCACGGCCAAGTTTACCTGGCGCCAGTTGCATAAGCTCGCTATTCGCTTGGCCACGAACAATGGTGTTGTCTTGACGTCAGTGGCAGCATTCACCAACAGTAGCGACAGTCTTTGTAAGCTCGACGTTGGTCTGGATGCGAATATTTTCGTTTCGATCACGTCCCTCGACGGTGATGTTCATCTCCTGCTTCTTGCGGGTTGCATGGGGCCAGAGGTGTCGTAACGCAGTCGGCCGCGCTTGAGCTTCAGAGCGCCCAGGGCGTGCAGGCATGCCGCGGATGCCTCTCTTGAGCTCGGTAATTGCTCGGCCCGCTCGCCTGTGGCATGCAGGCACGCCGCAGTGACGGGCGCGATACCCGACTCATAATTCACCATCAGAACTGAATCGTCGAAAGCTCGGGTGTTGCTAGAAGTACCCCTGGCCCAAGGTACCCCCAGGATTCACGGGGTGGCCCAGGCGGCCTCCAGGGCACCCCTCACGAAGCCCAGAGGACCCCAGGGGCTCCAAAATGAAGCGAAAAGCTGAGGGCATCTTGGGCCAGGGGCACTTCTAGCAACACCCGAAAAACGATTCCTGCCTGCACCTGGTGCCGGCTTGCAGCGGTAATGCGTTGTGTGCGCATGCCGCTGCGTGCTCAGACCCAGCGTGTGCATAATCTCCCGTAACAGGCCTTGCCCGTGCCTGGAGCCGACACTCAGCAGCAATACGCTACGCGTTTCTGCATGTGCATGTAGTCATCCAATGTGTGCGTGGCTCACCGTCGTCATTTTTTTTAGCATTCTTGCTGCACCAGCGCCGTTACGACTAGGGTCGTCGCGCACGTCGGAATCCGCATAGCAGATGCTCGCACCAGCCGCGTAATGCGCGACTCGTGTACGAAATACGTGGCGTGGCTTCACTGAATGCCGTCTCCTGAAAAACAGGGCCACCCCGTTTTTGGCCTGAGAGCATTGTTCGATAGATATGTCTTGAGACGCCTAGCGCAACACTTGCTAAAAAACAAATTCCAGACGCCCTGGGACAGGCGCCCCTGACGGCGGAACAAAAATACTTTCTACCGTTCGTCGCCTAAGCGAGGAGATCAAGAGCGCCGATGTCTGAGGGAGGTGCGGAAGGCTTGGGCGGAGGCAGATTCAGACGAACATCACTCTAAACAGCTCCTGAAAGAAGGACATGCGCGTAGTTTTAACCGAAGAATGATGAAAAAAACGCCAGTGACTGGCCCCGCCCCCCTGGTCACGTCACGAATCGCGCCGGCGCCGTTTGGGAATTGGCCCTTCATAAATACTCCCGCACAACATTCCCAAACGGCGGCGGCACGAATTGTGACGTGACCGGCCCGCTCCCCTCCCCCCGGTCACGACCGCTATCGCCAGGGGATCAAAAACAACGGGGAAACGAAAGGGTACCGACTCCGCGACGTACTCCTTGGCTTTCTCCCAGGACGCAGTCCGACCAGAATTTCGAAACACATCCAGCGGTGGCGACGAGGGCCCCCCAGGAGGCCCAAAACGGCGAGAGCGAGGGAAGGGCAGCGGCACCTGATCCTCCTCTTGTAACCAAAAAGTGTCTGACTGCGCACATGCGGCACGGGCCCGCTCTCTGACCCCAGCTCTTTGCGCAATCGCGCCCCTTCCCCCGGACAGGAAACAAGGCGGGCCTCGTGCTCGAGGGGCTCCGGGTGCAAGAGCGCACGGATCTTCGCGGCCTCTGCGCCGTGCGGCGGCGCGCAGGCGTATCCGCGGTGGCGCCGGGTCGCGTAAGGGTCCTGGAGCTGGAGAGAGAGGACCCGGACGTGCTCGCGTTGCGAAATCACCGCCGACCTGGCAGGGTCCACCGCGTGTGAAACTGTTGCCCCTCTCCCCCCCCCGGGTCAGCTCTGTCTGGCCAGTTTGGAAGGTGGGGTTCTGGCCAAAGGCGACTCAGAGATGTTCATGGACGGCATCCGACGGCTTCGAAATGACCCCCAAGGGTTTCTCGACGATCAAGCACCCAGTCGCCCTGAGAAGGCTTCCAGACAACCCACGAAGCCTCCGACCAATGGCTCCAGAAGAACTCCCCGCGAGGGCCCCAACCAGCAACAATTGTCCGATTCCCTTTTCGGGTAAAACAAACAAGTTCTGAGGACTACTGCCTCAACAGCCTTGAAAATCAACCCGAGACGGGCCAAAAGCTCCAAACGGCCCCGAAGCGGCCCGAGAAACGCCCAGGGCAGCCCAAGAGGATCCCGAGAGGGGCCCAAGACAGCTCAAGATGGTCTCAAGGCGGCACGGGAAGGACCCCGGACAGCCCAAGATGGCCCCGACGCGGCCCAAGGCGCGCCTCAGACGGCCCAGGAGGGCCCCGAGATGCCCTCAGGCAGCCCAGACGGGCCCCATGGAGGCTGACACCGCCGCCAAGAAAGTGGGCTGGTCGAGAGGCGAGCACACCGACGTCATTGTGCATGGGCTTCTGCCAACGACGACAAGGGATGTGAACACTATCTGCCGCTGCTGACTGGCCCACCATTCCTGTCAAACACCAATGCAAATCGACGGAGGGCGCACGCGCCGTCCCCTATGCTGAATCCACTCGTTGCTACTCTACTCTTGCTTGCGTGGCAAGGTGGCGGGGGAAACGGCATCCTGTTCGATGCGCGCGCTGTCAGGAACGAAGCCGCGCTGGCCCATTGGGCATCGCGGACGCCAGATTCCTGTTCACAGTCGTCGCTTGCCTCCGTCCGCGCAGCTGCCTGGCGATGCAACGCGCCTCCTTTCTTGAAGGGGCCCTGGGACACACAAATAAATACACACACAAATAACAGGATCCCCCATAGTTTCCCATGTGTTCTGGGTTTCTGTCTTCCCCCCACTTCCCATATTTTCCAATCTTTTCTGGGGGATCGACCGGAGAGGCCGACAGGGGCAGCGGACGGCAGTCCTCCTCAAGATTTGTTGTATACCACACCCTCCCTAATTACCCCAGTTTCCACCGCCTAGGGCCACGTTTGGTATGCATGATGCCACGCCCCAGGGAGGAACTGTGTATACCACGCCCACAACCAGGACCCTCGCCCACCCCACAGGGATTCTTGGCATAGCCAGAGTGAGGGGGCCGAGCGGTCATTCATTGTCCCCTGAGGGGGCCTCGACCCCCCGCGACCCACCCCACGACCAATCCGCGACCCACCCGCGACCCACCCCCTCACGCTTATCCGCAACTGAGGGGTGCTACGTACATTCTCATAATAACCACACATCTGCGCATGTGGGCCGGAGGCAGGCCTCGTCTGCCGTCTGGAGCGCCACGGCTGGCTGCCCGGTCACCACCTCCTGGCGCGGCGCGGCGGCACCGCCCACCTATTTACTCGGCTCCCAGATCCCTCGAGTCGTGACAACAGAGGCCTCCCGCCTCGCCGAACCATATGGTAGAGAGCCTCTCGCGGAAGCCAGTGGAACCGCGCCGCAACACCTCCTCGACCGCTGGACTCTGCCCCCGCACCTGCAAATGGGGTTCCGAGTCTAGATGGGGTCGGAGGATCGCGCCGCATCGCCGATGCATCAGCGATACATCGCCGATGCAACGGCGAAGTCGGCGATGCATCGGCGACGCTGGCGTAGAGAAAATCAGGCTCCACATCGAGCCGAATCACCGATGCATTGGCGATGCGGCGCGACTCTTCGACCCCACCCCATCTAGGAGGCCTCGAGGCAAAAATCCGCCGACCCTGTCGGCGTGGAGGAGGCTGTTCCGTTTGACTCGTCCTCGTCGTCGTCGTGGTCGTTGTTGTCGTCGTCGTCGTCGTCGCTGTCGCCGTCGCCGGTCCCCTCCCTTTCCCTGAGTCTGGCGCCGCTGCCTCCACTTTCACCGGGCCCTTCTCCTCGAGCGCGCCAGCCACAGCGAAATTGAGCAGCGCTGTAGTTGAGTCGAAGGGAAGCCCCTTCCCTGTGACTGTGATCCCTTCCCCGCCGGGGGGGGTGGGGGGGTCCCGAGGGGGGGTCCTGGGGGAGGTCCCAGGGAGGGTCCCGGATCAGGTCCCGGGGCAGGTCCCGGGGGGGGTCCTGGGTCAGGTACGGCTCCCCTCCGGGCGGTTCGGGAGCCCAGACAATCCCCAAGACGTAGCAAAAGTGTCCCGAGAGGCCTCCAAGAATGTCCTCGAGGGACCCGAATCGCCGAAGCATCGGTCCAAGTCACAATAGCCTCCAGACAGCTTCGGAAGTTCCCACTCCAAGGGCACTCCCAAGAGGGCCCCAAGGAGCAAAAATCATAGATTTCCGTTACGTAAGTTTTTGGACGATTTCGGCACTCTCGCCTTGTCAGCTTCCCGACGCTCCAAGACAGGCCAAGAAGCCCCCAAGACCGCCCCAATATCGCCCAAGAGGCCTCCAAGAGAGCCCCAAAACGACCCAAGAGGGCCCCAAGACCGACCAAGAGGCCTCCAAGACAGCCGAAGAGGCCCCCAAGACGGCTCTAAGGAGGAGCCCAGACGGGTGACCCGAACGGACATTTCGAGCCCTCGGCCTGAGAAGCTCTCAGGAGGCCCCCAGAGGTCCCTAAGAAGCCCCGCAAGAAAACCCAAGCAGCCCCCGAGAGACCCCCAGAGACCCCCAGAGGCCCCGACGAGGCTTCCAAGCGGCCCCCCAGAGCTTCCCAAGAGGCCCCCAAACTACCCCGAAGAGGCCCCCGAGAGCGCTCGTCGTCGCCGTCGTCGTCGTCGCCATTCAGTGTCGGCGGCACTGGCCGTAAGGGCTTCGCAATCATGAGAAAACTTTGATCATGCCGCGGCCCCAGAAGGGCAACTCGACACATGGCAAACATCACGACAGGAAAGTCTCGGTCTTTCTGGCCCTCCCTTCTGGCCGCAGACACGGTCGAGGGGGGGAAGGGAAAGGGGAGGCAGGAGCGAATGACTGGCAACACGAGCACCGGCAAGCTGGGGGTGAGGGCCAGGTCAAAACGCAACGAGCAGACAACCACGTGGGAGACCCGAGAACCGCCGCCCAGCAGCACGAGACGTCTACAGGAGTCTTCTGCGCAGATAGTCACCCCAAGACGCAAGGCAGAATCATCCCCAGTGTCATCAGCATCACGTATGTCAAACAAAAACAATATTCCCAACCGGGGGTGGCCGCCGAGCGACACCGTCGAGCACCCTGGATGGCTAAACATGTTGTTCAGCGGGAGGTGGATGGAGTGAGAGGGAGTAAGAGCAGAGGGGGCCCTGCATTGGGCTTTCATCGATGAGAGAGTCCTGAGTCCTGCTCGGGTTCTCAGCGACCAAGCAGACTTGGCGAAGAGAAACATCGAATCCATCGAGCCATGACCGGGGACAAAAGAAAACCATCGAACAGTTCAGCCCAGAGAAACCATCGGATACCTACACTGGTGGTCGAAGAGCCATCGACGAATCGCCGAAAACCGGGGACATCGCATCGCCAGCGACACCTGGTGGGATTTCCCACTGGAGGGCCAGGGTCTCGAGGGGACGAGAGATGGCACAATTTCGCCGAAAAGGGGCGCCCTCAGGCACGGTCCGTTTCAACCGCAGGTCTCTGTTCAGCTCGAGCTGTGCTAGACCAGTGATATGAACCAACTCCTGAAGCTCTCCCCCTCTCTCCTGTCCCCCCCCCCTCTCCTGTCCACCCCCCCCCCCCTCTCCTGGGGGCTGGCAGGGGGGGGAGGTTCCGAGCACATCATTCGTCAGGAAATTACGTCCCCCCCCTCCCCCCCTCCCCCCCTCCCAAGCAGAGCTAAAGCTCATGCTGAAGCAGAGCTTCAGCTAGATCAGTGAGCTGTGCTTGGATCTCTCACGCCGTGTTTTTGTTGTACCCCTGACCCTTGACACGGACACCACCTCCCATGGGTATTATGACGCACCCTGCCGTTGCAGAGCCACAAGCCCAGTCTCGTCGACAATTGCTGCACTGTTGATTGCGTGGTGGGGAGATCAGTATTGCAGCTTTGGGTGAATTACGCGGCGCGAGCGAAACATCTCGCCACTTAAACACCCCCGCGGTGATAGAAGAGCAAATGCGGCCGCCGACGCGGCGGGACCTGGAGACGATGCTGGGCAGAACGGGACGTTGGAGGAGGGGGAGGAGGAGGTGCACCTGTTTTGCACAGCAATGTCTGGGTTCGGATCGAGAGAGCCCACTCGGTCGGCTCGGCAAGCACAACAACCTGCATGTCACCAGAGCACGCGCGCTTTAAGCCGAAGCCGACTGGAGCAGAAGGAGGACAAGAGAGACGAGGAAAAGGATTACCAAGGCGCCTACCAAGACGAGGATTACCAGACGAGGGAAAAGGATTACCTCCCCACTGCACGCTGCGCGTGCATGAAGCGAGAATGCCGAGGACGATGCGGGGAAAGGAGAACGATAGCGAGAAAAAGAAGAGAGTGAGGGTGACGAGGGGGCCTTTGGAGAACGGAAGGGTGGCAAGAAGGGGGACGAGAAGGATTATCATGCCAATTGTGATGGAGAAAAGGGGGAGAGCCGAGGGGTTGCAGGGCGGACAAGTAGGAGAGCGAGCTGGACGAGGACGAGCACGACGACGCGGGTGGGCGGACGGGCTGCCGGGCGGAGGGGAGGGGCCAGCGACAAACGGTCCTCGTCAGAGAGGGCGTGCCGCTGCACGCGGCTGCGGGTGGCCCTCCGGCGCGACTGCTCCTCGCCGCGGCGGGCCGCGGCCGCGGCCGTTCCGCGGCTGCTGCTGTCTTCCCGCCTCGCCGTCCCTCGGCCCCCGCCTCTGCGCGGGCTGCTCCCCTCAGCGTCCTCCGCCTCCTCGGCCGCCGTCCACAACTCTTCACGTCCCGCCCCTTCCCCCGCCAGGCACCTCTCCTCCTCCTCCTCCTCCTCCTCCTCCTCCTCCTCCTCCTCCTCCTCCTCCTCCTCCTCCTCCTCCTCCTCCTCCCCGAGATCATCGCCCTCCTCACGTCTTCTCTCACGGTCTCTCCGAACCGTCTCCGCCGCGGGCCCGGAGAATGGACCACCCCAGCCCCCGACAGGAACTGCCGTACATCGACGGATGCCCAGTCTGAAACGCGGCTGCGCTCGTTTCCACGCGCAGCAGCCATTTGGAGCGGAATGCCTGGCGCCGAGGAGATCCCGCTGCGCAGTCAGGGTTTCGAGGGGAAGGGGAGGTATCCCCTCAGGAGAGGGTGTCTGAGCAGTCTGAGGACTTGCAGGTCTGTCAGAAGCGCGATTAGCGACTGTCATCGATCCCCCTGAGGGGGGTCTCTCGGAAGCCTTCCCCCGCACTCTGAAGGCCCCCTTGTATCAAAGCCTCGGGTCTCTTCTGGGAAGCACCACGCATTCCTGGAACGCCGCTAGGGCGAGAATGATGTCATGGTGCGAGTGGCTCGGGATGCGTTCCACCAAAAATGCTCGAAACATCGAACCGCATCACGCTTGTTCCTCTGAGTCACCCCCCCCCCCTGCCCCCCCCCCCCCCCTATACAACAACTGTTACTGCACGCCGCCGTCTCTTGGATGTCCAAAAACGGACCTCGACATCCCAGGCTACATCACTACAATCTTGGAGGCCCAGGTCGCCGGAGACATCAGCGGAGAACGACCCACGTCCCAAAACCCGGCGGTAACCCCGAATCCCCACTGACTCACCACACGGAGTGGTCACCGCACCGCCTGGGCGCCCCCGAAGCCTCTGGCCGCGTCGAGCCGCCAGAGGTCTCGCTCTCTCCCTCCTCCGTGCCTCGGAAGCACTCCCCCGCATGCTGAGAACTGCCCCTTTATATGAGAAGCCTCCGACCCCCTCTGGGAAGCGCCCCGCATTCCTGGAACGCATGATGTCATGATGCGACAGGCTCAGGATGCGCTCCAGGAACTCCGGAGTATCGGGCGGCCCTCGTGGAGCCCATGCGGAACAATGGGACATATAAGAAATCCTGCAAATATTGAAAAAAAACGCATCACTCGTGCTACTCTGAGTCACCCCCCCGTCCCTGGCCTTCTCCGTCGCCGCGCCGCCATTGACGGATAACGATAACGGGCGACTTGCCCAGGGGGGAATCGGCGATACATCGCCAACAGATCGGCGATGGGTCCCCGATAGCGAACCCGCACGCTCCCGGGCGGGGTCGGGCTATCAAGCCCCTATAGGCGATGCATTGGCGACTGGGGGGCCGCTCGGAACGACTCGGGCACACCCAGAAAGATCTGTGGGAGGCGCCGCTGCTGGAGAGCACCCCAGGGCTGGAAAGCCGCCGAGGACCGACGAACACTCCCGAAAACGTCGAACCTCGAAACCTCGCCCCGGCCTCGGGGCGGGCCTTTCTTTGGCCCCGAGAAGGGCCCCTTCAGGGGCCCTAAAA